AAAATTTATCACTCACTTTATTGCAATATTTGCTTCATTGCAGTGATCTGAAACTAAACCCACAGTATCTCTTGAGAGATGCCTGCATATTCATACCAACATCCTTTGTGCTTATTTTTTTCCCTTTGTCCACATTAAGAATTTAATCTAAATTCTGCCCAATTTACCTCTTCATGTAGAGGCTCCTGCACAGGGATTAATCTTATTGGTGTTCAGCAGGACTCATTAGCTGTTACTTTGCACCAGCATACACAGTAGTACAGAGTTAATTTAAAACAATAGACCTCAGACTATTCCTTTTTGAGCATGGTTATAAGCTTGGACCTTACATTTCAAGGCAGTTCTCATCTTTCCCCAAACTGGTAAGAATGGTTCTATGCCTACAATGTTTGCACAACGCTTAAGGTTTATGCTGAAAATCTGCTTTCTTTATGGGAGTCTAAGGAGCTCTGGTAGCATAGTGGCTAAGGCACTTGATTGCTAACCAGAAGGCTGGCAGTTCAAACCCAACAGCCACTCCCCGGAAGGAAGGTTGGGCAATCCTACTTCCGTAGTGATACTGCCTCGGAAACCCAAGGAGGGGTCGCTATGAGTCAGGGCTGACTCGATGGCACATAACAACAACAACAACAAGGAGCTCTGGTGGTGTAGTGGTTAAGGCATTTGGCTGCTAACCAAAAGGTTCGAATTGACCAGCTGCTCCATGGAAGATAGATGGGCAGTCCGCTTCCGTAAAGATTTACAGCCTTAAAAACCCATTGACGGTTGCTCTGAGTTGGAATCAACTGCATGGAACCGAGTATGGAGTCTGGAATTCTTGCTGTGCCAGGCAGAAGGTACCCATTTGACCAGCCCACAATAAAAACCTTAGGCACTAAATCTCTAATGAGCTTACCTGTTTGTCAAATTTCACACACTGTCACAACATGCTGCTGAAGGAATTAAGTGTCCTATGACTCGTAGTGCCTAAGGCACTTGACTGCTAATCAAAGGCTGGCGGTTCAAACCCACCAGCCACTCCTCGGAAGGAAGATGGGGCAATCTACTTCCGTAATGATACTGCCTCGGAAACCCAAGGCGGGGTCGCTATGAGTCGGGTCTGACTCGAGGGCACATAACAACAACAACATGACTTCACCAGGAGAGGACCCTGGTAGCCTGTGCCTATTTTTTTTCTCCAGACTTTACCCCACTTGCCTTATCTCTTTGACCTTGCTCTATATCTTTTTCCTGTTATAAATCTTAGCTGTGAGTTCTCCTAATTAATCAAACCTGAAGGTGATCCTGGGGTCCTCAAACATAGTCCTACTGTTTTACTGCACTCTTGATGACATATAAAAGGTTGTATTTATCCATTTAAATCATCACATTTACTACATTGTGCACGGATAGACAGATATGAGTTAATTAAGCATAATTTTTAGTCTGCTCTTTTTTTTGTGAAGTATAATGTTCTTACTTGTTAATTTTCCTAGATCGAGCATAATATCTGCATTAAATATGGGTCAATGCCTGTCACACAAGTGAATTGTATTACATTTCTTTCTTCCCCTTGTATTTTCCACTCAATATTTTTTTGATCACATCAGCAAGACCTTGGATACCTTTCCCACTTCTCATGAAATGCACTTTTATTATCCTTCACTGAACTCATTGTTCTGGTATCCTGGGCCAAGTTCAATTCTTTAATACCTGCTATGTAACCAGCTATTAACTTTCCATATCTTTTTCCTTCCAGAGATTGAACTTTCCATGGGAATAGATTTTAAAAATCTTTGTGCCCAAAATTCATTGGATTTTCTGTTCAGAGTATTATACTTTCTAACTAAAGATACTTCTTCACCTTTTTTTTTTTTTTAATCTCCCTACTAAAGATCTTTCCAGGATTCGATGGGTGGTGCCAACAATTAATGTGTTCAGTTATGAACCGAAAGTTTGGAGGTTTGAGTCCACCCAGATGCACCTCACACAAAAGTCCCGGCAGCAATCTACTTCCAAAAATTCAGCCACTGAAAACCCTACAGGGCACAGATCTACTCTGACACACACGGGGATGCAATGAATCAGAACGCACTCGACAGCAACTGGTTGGTTGAAGGTTTTCCAAACTATGTTCCTTGGGGACACAATCCTCAGGCTATTAGTGACAGGTGTTTGTAACAAAAGATTCTGTGGTTAACTAAGTTTGGGAAGTTAAGTAAGCAAAGTTAAACAGGCTTCTTTATTATACAACTTTTCATAGCCTTTATATGATCATTTGAATTGTGAAGACATTTTGGGTTTTGAATAGGATATAGTTTTACATAAATTAAATAAAAACTTTCCCCCAGGCACATCTTGGAGAGATCACTATTTTATAGTAGATGCTTTCAGAAATACCATGGTAGTGCATGGATGGGTACCAGTAATCAGATCTTAATCCAGGTAAGTCTTTGGATACAGCTCCAGAAAATCTGCAAATATTATAACAAATCATGCATAACTACATTGCTGAGTACTGAATCTATTGCTTTTTAGAACTGAAAATATCTAAAATATTAATATGAATTGAAAGTGAGAGCAAATCAAAATTTTAATGGATTATTAATTTTAGATCTTCTTCTCTATAGGAACATTATAATTTTACAACAGAAAAGTATGCAGTTTAACACCGTAGTAATAAATTACTTGACCATAAAAGAAAACATAAATTTGGTTAGTTGTAAATCAGTAATCATTTAACAATAGCTCATCCATCAACCCGAAACTTGAATTCTTGATTTCTACTAAATAAATTCAACAAAAATGTTTGTTAATACTTTATTAGTATTTTCTAATGGACAGAACATAACACAAACCAAACAAAATGTTTAATTGTTTTTTAGTTCAATAAAAATAACTGACATTCTGATTGCTGTTTCTTCTTTGTTAAAGAAGTACTGATAGAACAATTAGGCACACAGTTGACACTTACTGTACAATGATATGCACAAGTTATTTTTTTAAACAATTATAATTCTAAAATGTGCTCTTCATATTTTTCCCTTGTAATACAGGAGCCATGCTCCCATAAGCAAAATTTATTAACAAAAGAATTTTAAAAGGAGTGACAAAAAGACTTTTAAAACAAGTCCTTAAATAAAAGGATGCAGCGACAACGGAATGTAAGTTGTTGGGTTAAGAAGACAGTTTAAACTAGATCTCAAAACATTAAAAATTCATTTATTTTACAATTACTCAAATACACATGCACTAAATGAAAATATTGCACAAAATTAAAATTAGAGATTGTGAAATTTATATTGTTCTTAATTTTTTAAAAATTGGTACATTTTATGGTAGCACTTAACTGTTTGATTTTTTCCAAACACCAGCAGCAAAACTTAAAATGAATCAACTGAAATAGTCAAGAAATTTTTTTAATGTGTTTTAAAAAAAATTAAGGCTAACCAAGTGCATCCATTGGTCAATGGCAAAACTGCTTTCAGCAACGATTCAGAACACCCTAATTGTAGGAAATGCCCACTTAAGTGCTATATTTAATTATACAATCAATTTGTTAGGTGAATGAACAATAAAGTAGTGATGGTTTCTAAACATGTTACCTGAAAAATTAAAAAACCCAAAGAACAATTAATTTGGAAGGTTCTTGCCTAAAGGCACCATTGACTTAAAAACACATTCAAAAACCAAATATTAGAAGACATAAAGCCTTTTCATGTATATATTCATATATGCATTAAATGTAATAACTTCATTAAACATAGTACACTGTACTTGACTTATGGGTTAAATATTTTACACACAGCTTAACCAGTCATTCGAAAGTATCTCTAATTTTAGCGTGACCATGACTCTCTTTGATGTAAAAACATAGATGTGCACAGAGAATATGCACCACCATTTACATAGACTACCATTTCACATTTCTGCTTCTGAAATATAAACTCTTTTAAACAAAAATTATTTAAAAAAAACTCATTCGGTCAAATAGTTTTTGGTATGATTGCAGTTATCTTTGAAGGTTGTTATGAAAATTTGCAATTTTGCATGACCTTTCTTTCCCTGGTTGATGGCCAGTGTTCCTCACATTATACAGAAATGTATATAGTTTTTCAAATGTACATGTTAGGTTCTGCATGAATTCTTCTGTATACTCTTAGATTTATTCACGTCAAAAATATACTTGAAATGGGTAGGGGTTTATATGAAAATCATTGCACTTATGGCCATGCTGATGCTTCCTACAGACATGTTTCACATACTTTCACTTTCAAAGCCTGAGGCATGGGGAGGGGGTGGGGCAGAGAGAAACATCGAGAAGAAGAAATACTATTTCTTTCATCAGAGCCCCTAGAGATCTTTTCTCACTTGCAAGTTGCAATGAAAAGGATTTCATGTATGTACTTCTGAATACACGCAACACGCTGAATATGTGCATACTACAAGTATGTACAACAGCATTGTTAATAAATATGGTTATTCTTATAAAGCTTTAAAGAAAGGCTTTATTCCGTTAATAGGCTTTACTTTGTAAGAAGAATGTAAGCAAAAACAAGACAGTACAAGATTGTGTTCCAATCTTAAAACTCCCAAATAACTGGGATACCAATACTTCATCCTTTATCTTAAGCACCTGGACTTTCTGTTAATACCAGGATCTTGGCTCAGTGGTCTGATAAGTAGCTTCACTATTTTAAGGTTTTAGTGTTAAATATTTTTAAAACAAGAAAAAAAAAAATGACACACCCAAACCCTTAGTCAATGGAAGTATTTAAAACTATGCAGAAATCCTGCATACAAGGGATATGAAGATGGGCAAAATGGAAACGAGACTACAGGAAAGGCAGAGGCTCCAAAATTTGAAAAGGTCATTTGTTGTTGTTGTTGGCATAAAATTATTTTAGGGACTTAAAACGGATACACTGAGAAGTTTTGCCAACTTGCTTTATTTAGAATTTTACATTTTGCAAAATATAAATAAAAGCATATTTTTAAAAAATATTATAATTCTGTTTTCATTATTTTCATATATGTACAATGTGATAAAATTAGGAATTTGTGTATTTTCATACGACTAAGTTCACTTAATCCTTTGATCTGCTATTTTTTCAATTACCTAAGGTATTGTCTAGATCACACAATTTAAAATTAGCATATTATAACTTCAATAGAGTACTGTTTTCATAATTTCTGTATTTTGAGGATAGAATTTATATGGCAGTTCTTCCAACGAATTATATCCTTTCCTGAATAATCAGTAATCTATTAAAGATAAAACTGCAATAATTTTGGAACTAAAATAAAGCCACCACATGCTTCTTTTTGGACATAGAATACCAAAAGAAAATTTATGACTGAGTACCGTAAGAGCAAAATAGAGCCCTTAAAGCACATAAGAATCAATTAAAATTTGTTTTATACTATTGAATTAAAAAATCCAATCAAATTCTGATTTTGATTGGTTTTATTTTATATGTGGTTTTATGTCACAAAACTGTAATTCAGAAGGGCATTCTGTCACTTCTCAAACCTGAAACAGATGTACCAAACAAAGATCATTCACCTGGCTAATCCATACTATATCAAATGCTGACATAAGCCTACAAAATCATTAGGTAAAACAAATCCCCCCAAATCATACATTGCACAGTCTCCCACTGTTAAACATATTAGTCAATTTATCTGTGATCCACAGTTTTGTGCTTTCTTTTGCTCTCATATATACACTCTGGCACTTCGTCATTGCTGAAGAATGCTGATTAGTTTGAAACGGAAGAAACAAACATCGTTCTTGCTTGAGACAGGGGCAGTATCCTCTCAATGTTGCAAAAATATGCACCAAATCATTTAAGACACGGAAACCTCTCTTGGTAGTGGCTGGATTATAAATGAGAATGAGAAGAACCACAGTCTTATGGATGTATTAATAAATCTATTTTGAGATACTAAAAGACTGGTGCAGATACAACAGTATATGAGTTAAGCCCCAGAAGACCTGTCCATACCATTAGTCTTGGACAAAAAGAACACCAGCTTCATAGATTGGAGTGTCACCTTTTCTGCAAAGAAGGCGCTTGAGTAGTTTGAAGTTTCTGTTTATATTTCTGCATCTGCTTTGACCGTGAGTGCAGTTTGTTGAAAAGTTCACGGAATTTATATTGTGGAAATAAAGTTTCCAAAAACCCTTCCAGGAAGACATAAACCATTCTCCTATTTAACTGGTTGTGCTGAAACATTTCAAAAACACGAAGGATACCTTTCCGTGTTGTCTCAGCCCCAATGATGTGCTTCAGTTCATCTAAATAAGGAGGGGAAAAAAACAGCATAACTCAGTACTCATAGGAAACATAAGGCCTTAATAATATAAAATACAGATCATAGAAACTGATAAACAGTAGGTATCCAATTAATACATTTCAGCTATTTAGTATAACTGAGAGCTTACAATTTATGCATGTCTACATGCATGCCTGCCTCCATCCAATTATGATCCTGAAGACAATATAGCACAGGAGAACGAGGTGGGATCCAGACCAGAAATCCCAAATTAGAGCTATGATGTTGTTGTTGTTGTTATTGTTATGTGCCGTCAAGTTGGACCCGACTCATAGTGACCCCCTCCTTGGGTTTCTGAGGCAGTATCACTACGGAAGTAGATTGCCCAACCTTCCTTCCAAGGAGTGGCTGGTGGGTTTGAACCGCCAGCCTTCTGGTTAGCAGTCAAGTGCCTTAGGCGCTACGCTACCAGAGCTATGTTACTGTCCCTTAATGCTCATGGGATACTTACCTACCCTGAGTCTGTTTCCTTATCTGTAAAATGGGGATTTAAAATAATTAATACTGTTGCATCTGTAAGGATTTATACAGATTAATGAGAGAAGGTAAACTCTAAAGCATTATATAAATAATCTTACTATGTATAGTGCACAGTGAATACTGTAAGGAAACAAGATGTGTGAAAACTGATCCATGATTTCAAAAAACTTGTGGTATTGTTAATATAGTGCCATAGTAACACAGAAAGCTTAACTATGTTTACAGGAGGAGAATTCCAGCTGAGATAACAAAGGTTTCCTTTAAGGAAGTCATACTGACGTAGACTTTGCTACATGGGCAGGATCATGATAGCCAAAAACAAATGAAGGATTAGCCGTGGTAAAGAGAAAGAACATCAGTGAGCAATGGAGCAGCAAATGGAAAGCAACAAGGAAATCTGGGGTTCAGTTGGTTGAGTTTTAGGATTTCTGTAAGAAAAAGTAAAGAAAAGAAAGGAAAACTAACAATGCTGTGAATGTCAGAGTGAGCAAGTTTGGAGTTTACTCACAGGCAACATGACGTTACTAGATATGGAACATGAAGTTACTAGAGTATATAAAAAAATATGTATAATTATTCTCAATAATTCAAAATCAGGACTACAATAGCAGTAAGTATTGTTTTATTGGAGCTCTGGTGGTGCAGTGCCTAAGGCATTTGACTGCTAACCAGAAGGCTGGCAGTTCAAACCCACCAGCCACTCCTTGGAAGGAAGGTTGGGCAATCTACTTCCGTAGAGATACCGCCTCGGAAACCCAAGGAGGGGTTGCTCTGAGTTGGGTCTGACTTGATGGCACATAACAACAATAACATTGTTTTATTGCTTTAGGAAAACATGTAACATCCAAAAGGAAGGTACCTAACTAGGGGTACAACACAGTTTGAAACAAATTGTTGTTGTTGTTGTCACTGTGTGCCATGGAGTCGATTCCTACTAATAGTGACCCTATGGGACAGTACTCTGTCCCATAGGCTATAATCCTGATGGGAGCAGATCGCCAGGCCTTTTATCCCACTGATCCACTGGTGGGTTAAGACTTCTAACCTTTCACTTAGTAGCCAAGAGTTTTAACTCTTGTGGAACCAGGTGTTCCTTCTAAAACAGTTTGTGAATTTTCTAAGACACAGGTACAGGATTATGTATATAAAATATATTTTTATATTTTTTTCTTACTTCTTTAACATCTTCCAACAATTGTCATCTCCTCAATAGGACCTACTGTGACCACCCTATCTAAAACTGCAACTCAACTAACACTTTCTATTCCCCTGGCCTGTATTATGTTAGAAATAACATATAAATGCTGCATGTTGTATTTACTTGTTTTCTTTCCTGTCTCCCCGTTAGCATGTAAGTTCCAAGAAGGCAAAGATCTGTGCAAAGAACAATGTCTGGCACATTATAGGTACTCAGTAGATATTGAGTTTCTTCTACTGCATAAATAACACAGTCTTTATAGCGTAATTTGGTTTATTCCAATAGTACAGTAAATATTATTCTAAGTTATTGTTTCTTTATATTTTTCTAGAATGTTATTTCTATAATTTGTTTCTATCATCAAACACAACAGTAAATACAGCAGAATTAATAGCCATGTGGTAAGTTTCTAATTATGTGTCTGACAGATGATTTTATAAAGGAAAAGCATATTGTGAAACTGCAAAAAAAAAAATATATATATATATATAAAGAAAAATAGGTATCATATGATTATTTACTTAAAAATACTGATTTTTCAAAAACTTTCTATATTTATCATTAAGACATACAGAATGTATTTCTAGATATTTTCAAAGATATTAATTAACAAAAAAAAAGGACCAATCACCATCACCTCTTAGACATACAACCCTCTTTTCACATTACATAGCTTGTCTTAGAGAAGACAAACGGGACAAAGTCAATCTAATTTGGTGGGATAGTTGTATCCTAATGAAGTAACTCAAAGTAGGCCAACAAAATGCTGCTATATATACTTTCTTTGGGATCATATTTTAATAATATTAATAATGGGCCAAAGAGTTGTTTCTAAAGGATTCTTTAAATATTCTAAAGTAGAACAAATATTCGACCTGAAAACTTCGTATTCTTTTTAGCAGCCCTTTTATCTGTATATATTTTATTTATTTTACAACCTTATCCTTATTCCTAAAGGAGTCAAAGAGTCAACATAGCACTTTTAACCATTCAGAGCTAAGCCAGAATCCTAAACTTACCAGCTTAGATAGGTTAATTAACCTCTCCAAGCTTTTGTCTCCTCACATATAAACCTATGACATTAATAGTGCCTAACTTCATAGGAAGGAAATCTGGTGGTCCTGTGGTTAAAGCACTGGGATGCCAGTCAAAAGGTTAGCAGTTTAAACCTGCCAGCGGCTCCATGGCAGAAGATGAGGCAGTCTGCTTCTGTAAAGAGTTACAGCCTTAGAAACCCTATGCAGCAGTTTGACCCTGTCCTACAGAGTCACTGTGAGTTGGAAGTGACTCGATGGCAGTGGAAGTGAGTAGTTTCATAGGACTGTTCTGAGGATTAAATAAAACTATAAGAGAAGTGCCTAACACATTGCTTGGAATAAAAATAATCAAAGGGTAATTATTATTATAATAAAAAGACAGTAAACTAGCATGTTCAATGCCAGAAATTCAGGAGAATTACCAATTAATGTGATTTTTACCAAAGGTGCTCACTCACCTGGCATGATTGCAAATAATTTTGTTTTTCCAGCAATTCTTGTTCTCATTCGAATAGCTTTATCTCTGCATGGAACAGTCTCTGCTAAAATGCCATTTGGCCAAAATGCATCTCTATTTAAGAAGATCAAATACACTTGGTAAACATTTTCATTTTCTAAAGATACAAGTTTGTAAAATTATGATGGTTTTCTACAGAAAACAAATATGAACGGAAAGAGGAAAAGGGTCTGGTATTTATATAGGTATAATGACATGTATGTATTACACAGTAACTATGTGCAACCTTCAGTTTTTGGGGTGAAGGGACATACACAAAAAAAATAACAGATAAATTCTAGAGTAATTCATAAATACTAAAAAATAATTAAGATAATAAAATGGAATATATAAATGACTATATCACAGCCAAGGAGCTCTAGTGGTCTAGTGGTTAAAGCATTTGGCTTCTAACCAAAAGGTCAGCGGTTCAAATCTACCAACTGCACTGGAGAAAGACGAGGCAGTCTGCTTCTATAATAATTTACAGATTTGGAAAGGCTGTGGGGGCAGTTCTTCTAAGGCCTGTCTTACAAGGTTGCAATGAGTTGGAACTGACTAGATGGATAACAGCAGCTTTCGCATTTGTATCACAGCCATTTAAACTCAAAGCAAGCCTCCCACTGAGTTAACATCTCCTCCAAAATACAACCCTGTGATATTCTGAACTCAGATACCTTAGTATTCAACAACTATCCTGTCTCATTATGTCCTTCCATTCCCCCTTATAAATGACCCAACATAAAATCAAATTCAGCACACAGGCCTTATAGCTGGATTAAGTACTATGTTCCTTTCAAGCATACCAACAACCCATTCTCCTTTACTTTCACAATGCGCTTGATGATTTCTGTTCCTGAGTTCGTGGGGAAAAGGCAGAAATTATGCACAATGAGTAAACTTTCATCTGGGAGTTTGGTCTGAAGAAGACAGACTCCCCAGAGTTGTGGTTTTCAACGCTGGACATTAGAATCACCTGGGAGCACTACAACAAATCTTAATTCCAGGCCATCCTCCAGATTAATTAAGTCAGAATCTCTTTTTAAAGCTCTCCAATATGCAACCAAGATTGAGAATCACTGTTTTAGAGGAACATCATTCTCCTGCCCTAAAAGAGAATGCACATGCTAGGGGGCAGGTAGTTCCACTTTGGAAGCAGCATGGTTTAATGGGGAAAAAACTGAGCTTCAGAATTACAGAAAACAGCTTTCTCCATTTTTTACCATGTGAGCATCTGGGCCTCAATCTTCTAATAATAATATGGAGACAAAAATACCTACATCTCATGTAACAGGATAAAATCAGAAAGCTTACACAAAATATGTGGCACATTGTGCAGCACAAAGTGTTTAATATTTGATAGTCCCTTTTGCTTGTTTTCCTCTTATTTAAAGTACATGATGACATGAATTTCTATACCTTGCTTATCTTTTGAATTTAGAAAGAAGATTATTTCTCTACTGTGCTGTGATTTGTTTGAAGGGAATGCATCTTGTCTCTCACTGCTCAGCAATAAGGAGAATGTTAGGCACAGAAGGGTTCAGTATATTTGTGTAGAATGAACTGGAATACCAGTGCTACTTGATCTGCATTCCTTTCAGAGGCACAAATACTTAGTAGAAAATTAGACCACAGTCAGAGAGCCATCAATTTTCATTTCAAATCAAGGTGAGCAAATGCAACTGAGAAAAACTAATCTTCAAAACTAGAATTTGATAATATAAACTATACCATTTCTACATAATACGTCAATTATCTTAAAGCGACAGTACTGTGATAAAATGTAGTCTATCATCTTCAAGATTTTTCTTTAACTTTTCCCTACTCTGGTTTTAAAGAAACAAAGATTAATATTAATATGTCCATGGAACAAATTTTACTATAAATTTTATAAACCCTTTTCTATGTTTGCCAATGACTGACTAAAACAAACTTTATGGACAGGAAGGAAACAAAAGTAATGGAAGTTAATTAGTGATAACAATGCTAAACACTATACTACCTGAAAGAAGTGACTGTGTCTTAAGATATACCTGAAACGTTTCACTGAGTCAGCTACTTGCTCTGGTGAGGTCATCCAATCGACATAGTCAACTATTTTTCTGAAAATAAAATAATTTATTAAATGAGTAAACTCAAAAATTTTAGAAAATGAACAAAATAAAGAGACATTACTTTCAGGAAGCAAGCAGCTTAATTTGGAAGTAAATTCTCTCTGTAAGCATGGACTAATGATCTTCTTTAAAGGCCCAGAGAAGGAAATTCTCTTACAAAGGTTAGAACTCTACTTCCAGAAGCAAAAGTTTAAAAGTCAAGTAAGATTAGAATCTATGCTTCAAAAAAAAAAAAGTGGTACCTGTTAATAGTATCACCATATGTGGCTCTAATAAGCTGCTGAAGTAGGTTTTTGATATTCCTTCGCAACCATTGATTCCTCTCTTTTAAGTCGAATACTTCATCCATAAGAAGCAGCATTACCCTAAGTGGAATATTGTCATCCACCTGACAAAACATAGGGGAAAATAAGCTTATTTGAGGTAGTGACTTAATACAAATGGCTACTTTTTGCTACTCTTACAGAAATGACTGGTTCTACTTCACAAGTCAGAATAATTTATACTAGGCCCTTTATAATTTGAAATTTCATTCTAATTTAGAGAAAAATATTTTGAATAGTCACCTTGACAAAATACAGAACTTTACATCCCTACGATTATGAGTAAATTCCAAAACAGTTCTCCAAATGAATTCATGAGAGTCTCAGCAAAGATGTGGCTTTCGCAACATTTACTAGGGACTGTTTGTATTATTTGATAAGGCAAATGCTAGCACCATTGCCTATGTTCTGATGCAACTTTTTCATAAGAACAAAACATTCTCAACACCATATTTAACGAATAAAACACACTCTATACAAAATAATGTGTTGTTTGGTTAGTGTGTAATCGGGTTATTTTCAAGAAAAAGAATTTAAAATTCAATACAGCACACAGCTCAGTTAACGGTACAAAAGGCATATTTCACTGAAGTAGAGGAATTTTCTTTTAACAACTAAAAGTTAGTATTATTTCTATTGTTGCTGTTATGTGCCATCAAGTTGGACCCGACTCTCAGCGACCCCTCCTTGGGTTTCCGAGGCAGTATCACTACGGAAGTAGATTGCCCCACCTTCCTTCCGAGGAGTGGCTGGTGGGTTTGAAGCGCCAGCCTTCTGGATAGCAGTCAAGTGACTTAGGCACTATGCTACCAGAGCTCCTTTTTATTATATTCAATAAATGATGTAGAAAATAAAGAAGCTAAAGATTTCAAAATACTTGTCAGCATTACTTCAGAGAACCCTAATTACTTATAGAAAGACAATCTGGAATGCTTTGAGGTAACAAAAATATATAAAGCAAAAAACAAGTGCAGATTTAAGACTTCAACAAAATTGCATATAACTGCCAGTAATTTATAATTCCTCCATCACAAAGATATTCTATTACCACCTCATCAATGTTGAAATTTAAATATAGAGAAAACAACAAGAGTTGTAAACATTTTCTTAGTCACCCCTCCATTTTCACCTATTGAAAGCTTACTTTAACCAAATCAAGGGGGAGGGGAAGACCTGTTTCACTACTAAGGCAGAGTAAAATACTGCTCTAATATCTGATCAAGTGTATTCATTCACAAGTTTGGCGCCAGATGACAATTCTAACAAAGAGTTAAACAATAAAAAACAAATAAAAGATGTCATGGGTATTATACCAGCAACACTTATAATAAAACACTCTAAAGTATTCTTGAAAAAGCAAATTAAAAAATATCTTTAAGACAGGTTACTATAAAGAAATTCAGTTGGCAACAGAGGGGAAATAATTCTAATTTTAAAATAAATCTGCTAACAGGACAGAATACAGAGATCAGAAACAGACTCAAACATGTACCAAACCCAAACCAAACTCACTGCTGTTGAATCAGCTCTGACTCACAGCAACCCCTCCCAGGGTTTCAGAGGCAGTATCACTAGTGAGGTAGATTGCCCAACCTTCCTTCCGAGGAGTGGCTGGTGGGTTTGAACCGCCAGCCTTCTGGTTAGCAGTCAAACACCTTAGGCCCGACACTACCAGAGCTCCCTGTGGTGTAGTAAATTACTTAGTGTGGCTTTTCTACCCATAAGTCTTTGTAAACTCCCAGGTGGAATTTGCCATGAGCAACTGAGGAGCTCCTGATAGCTAAATTTGTCTACCTGAGGTATTTCTGTTGAGTGTGGCACTAAACAATGTTCTAGGAGGTTCCCGCTCTCTCAGGTGTTTAGAATTCTGATGTTATGATTGGTTGGTTTGGCCACTCTGCTGGGCTCAAAAGGAGGCCTCCTAGAGGCAGAAGTCTCTCTCTGACTGCTGGCTGAGGAAGGACGTGCCCCTGAGAGACACGCAGTGTGGGAAAGAGATGCAAGAGATATGCATTGCTGAGAGAGACACTGAGGGACATGCACTGCTGGGAGACAGACTGTGAGAGATGGCAGGCTGGGAGAGAGACTGAGAGAAACAGCGGGCTGGGAGAGAGACTGAGCATTTTTCCTGAACTTGAATTGTAGCCTGTTGCTTCCCTAATAAACCCCATAATCTGTGAGTTCTGTGTGGCCACTACAGCGAATAATCGAACCCAGGAGAGAGGTGGTGGGTACTTTGGGAGTAACAGTTGGTGAAAGGGCTGGAGAGAGGCAGCATGTCTGGCCTTGCAGTAATAGGCCTTGGGCTATTGGTGGTGATTCTGTCTTCCTTTTGTGGGGTTAGAGGAGGTCAGGAGATGTGGCCTCCTTGCCGTTTTTGCACTCCCCAAACATGTACAATAACCTGATTTATGACAAGGGAGAAAATGAGTACACTGGGAAGAAAATGGCCTTTTCAATAAATGTTGCTCAGTAAATTGGACCCCTACCTTATTTCATACACAAAAATCAAATCTAGATGGATTACAAATGAAAATGCTGGAATGATAAAATAACAAATGTTTTTAAAGAAAAGCATGGATAGAGATTCAAAATGAAGTCTCGTCAGTAATCACCACACTATTTCCCTCTAGCATCTAAGTGCTTGAAAAACTAGGTACAGCAGTTTGAATTAAGGATTTTGGTGCTCTGAACAACTCACTGAATCAGAGTGTACCAAACACAGAAGAACGGAATTAAAGGAAAGGCACACGGAGATTATTTAAGAAAGAGCTACCTGGTGGAGGGCGGATGCGCAGCCGAGAGAGGCCATTGGAAACTTCCCTAGGGCAGTGACTGGCGGGTGAGGTCGGTCACCTAAGATCCCCATGAGCCAAGAAAGAAGACACCCTATATCAGCATACCAGCGTCCATTCCAACATCCCAGCAAACGGCCCCAAGGATTTGCCTCCAGCGCCTGATTTTAGCAGTAATTTGGGTCACCTAAGTCCAAACGGACATGCGCAGCACCACTGAGACTCAGGCAGAGAGCTCACTGTTGTGCCAGGAGGGTAAGCCTACTCCCCTCTCAGCGGGTCCCTGGGTGGTCTTGGGTCAGCCTGGAAGACATCGTGCTTATCTATGTCACTGGTATCAGGACCACAGTTTGTTGGCAGGTACTCCCCCCGACTCCAACATAGCTGAAATCGTGCGCATCTTTGGCACCACAGGCAAATGGGGTGGGGAGAGAGAGAGAAAGCAGCAGCTGAGTGCGGTCCTGAGAATTTGCCTTGGATCAACTTTTTGGTGCAGCGGGGCCTCGGAGGCGGGTTCTTTGAGTGTGCCTGAGCCTGGTGGAAACTGGCGACTCCCTATCAACGGGAATCTTTCCTGAGATTGAGCTATGGTCTTGTGAATAGCTGCGTCATTGGTGATAGCCTGTGCAAAGCCCTAGAAACCTACCCTAGCAATACCAAGCTTTCCTTCTTCTGCTCCCACCTTCTCCACCAATAACTTCACTCATTCAACAGAAGAAACCAAATTCAGCCAATTACCATAAAACCTCCCACTTCGAACTCTAAACCCTCTTTATGACAAACAGAAACACATATCCATATTCCACACAATGATTCCACCATCACAAAGAAAACAACAGAGCGACCCAACATACCTGAATCAATAATTAAATAAAATACACCAGCTTCACCTTTTCAAAATATTAAACCACAAAACCAAGACAAAACAAATCAACACATAACCAGCAGCTAGAGACAACCTAAAGAGACAGTGCTCTACCAGATTCCAGGGGCATAAGAAGAGGTTCTGCTTTCCAGTAACCCCAAGAACTCTCCAGACCTGCACGACTGAAAAGGGGTGACATTCCCTTGTTACTCTTATACCCCACACCAGCCTGGTGAACGGAGGTAAAGCCACCCCCCACTCCCACCCACCTTCTGGGCCCACAGGAAGTCCATCCCAGTCTGTGTGGTCCAATGGAGGCTGGGTGCCCTGGCCTGTCCTCTGCTGATTTTTTTTTTTTTTCAATTTTTATTTTTTCTTCTTTTTTTCGGGTGCTTAGTTTGCTTGTATTTGTCTGTTTTAAAACTACTACTATTATTAATACTTTTGTCCTTTTTACTATTCTTCCTCTCACAGGCCCTAGTTTACAATCCCCCTTTTTTTTCTTTTCCCACTCCTGATTAGATTTTATTTTTCCCTCGTGGATAACCCCGTTCCTTGTTGGGTTTTTCTTTTTCTTTTCTTTTTTCTTTTTGCATTTTTCCCAGTTTCTTCTTCTTTATTCTCCTTCTCTACCTTCTTTCTCTTAGTGCCCTATCCCCATAAATTGCAGGTTTTCATCTTCTTTTCTCCCCTTTTTCTTTTTTTGGGTTACTGTTCCTGTGTGATTACATGGCGTATTTTTTGTACATGTGCTTTTGATTTTTTGATGGTTATTCAATTGTAATTTTTGTCTAATTTAGCAGGAGACAGCAACACTCCCCATAAGATACAAGTACACCCACACCTCCTGCAACTTCACTTACTGAGCAAGAGCCAGCACCTCCTTCTCCATCAACAGGCCAATGATAAAAAACCACCAAGAAGAGCCTGAATGAACCCTGGCTGCTATTCAAAAAAATTAACAGAGATCTTAATACAATACCACGATGCCTCAGAGGCAACAGACCATCACAGTCCACACAAAGAAGCA